ATTTAGTTTAGACAGTAGCTGCCGGTAGAATCTCCCGCATGAGCAGGCATAAGCTCCGCCCCTCTTTTATCGATTTAAAATAATAATTAAGCTTTATACCCCAAATCAGCACTTTTGAAACAGGAAGTGAAATAGAGGGATGGCTAGAATGGGTGATCTGTTTGGTATTTTGAGCAAAACACTTCATAGACATGTTTTTTTATATTTCTGAGACCTATGCTATTGCCTAAAAATAGCATGATAGGTGACCTTTAATACAGTTTAAATCTAAAAGTCCCATCAGGTTTGATTTTTAGATTTCTCTTCTGAAAATGTAGACGGACACATTTAAAATGCTGTGAGTTAAACCTCAGTTCACCACACGGTGGCAGTGTGTCTTAATACAATAATACAACAAGAACTAACATTTCTTCTTCTCTTATTTTAAAATCAGAATGCGAATCTCAGAAAAAGCTCGTTTTGGGGAAAAGCCATTTTTATTAAAAGTCATTTACAAAAGGAATACTCCATGTTAGGTTGCTATAAAACGTCCATATGTACATCATATCACACACACACACACACACACACACACACACACACACACACACACACACACACACACACACACACACACACACACACACACACACACACCTCAAGAAAGCTACACATCAATTCAGAAAAAGACACGGGTGTTTTCCCACTTGGATGCATAGAGAGCAGTTCTTCAGGGGCGCACTTCATTCATGAATTCAGATATAAAACACAAATGTTCCTGTACACATGAAGACACTATTGTTTTCCACTTCGCTCTGATGCAGTATTTTCACCTGAAAGTGGGCGGGCCCGTCATTTTGACCGGGAGTGACGTTAGCTATATTTTCGAGTGCTTGTAACAATCATTATAGAGCGCTATAAGGACATTAAAATGAATTATAGACAGGGGCGTTATTTAAAGTGTTATGGGACTTGTTATGATCTCAAATATTCTGCTATAATGTGATAAAACCTTTTTTAAATCGAAGTTATTTTCTGTTTACGCTTCCTCTAAACGTGTGTGCTCTGAAATCTGAACATGCCGAAGAAATGTGAATTTATTCAGTGCTTTTCTCATCAATACATCTTTAACTTTCACCGTCTGACCACGACAAAAAGACTCAAAGTGACGCCACCGCACGCTAATAACACGACGCAAAGCATTCTGGGAAGTTTCTACAGGGGAGTACAAAAATAATCTCTCATCTGAAAACTATCAAATCTTATTTTACATATCGAGTTTTTTTTTTTACCTCTGACTCATCCTGCGACAGGAAGCTAAAAAGAGGAATACAAAGCTGGGAATTCACTGTTTTCTGGAGGTCAAAGTGTGGAAGAAGCCAAGGGACCTTTTACTCTGAAAATCCATATTTTCAGAGTAAAAGTAAGCGGCCCACAAACTGTCGACAGATGAAATAAACACAGCACACCTAAAGTAAATAAATAAAGATGGCATGTTCCTGTGTGCTGGTAAGACTCATCGTGTCCTTGGATGTCAACGTTTCCATCATTTGGCCATTTTCGGGATAACACAGTTGTTATTCCTTACACTTTTAAGCAAAAATACTCCTTTTCTTTGTCTTCTGTGATGATAAATACCTTTAGGAAATGTTAATACTAACTGCAACAAACATTTACTTTCATGATTTGATTTATAAAATATCAGAAAACAGTGAAAGGTTAATATGATGTCTTGAAAACAGGAAATGTCTGTTTCTGACGGGCTGAAAACAGCATTTTGTGACTGTTTTGCATCAGAAACTATTTGTCTGTCGATGAACTAACTTGACTTCTCGGTTTGGGCCGTTAACATCTGCACTGTTCACGGTTTTCTGACATTTTAGAGGTTCATTTATTGCTAGAAGTGTGTGGAATGAATTTCGAATAAATAAATACACCAAAAATAAGAACTTAAAAAGGTTTAAAAATACTTTGGATGATTACTAATGAATGAAAGTGTGACTTTAAACTGTAAACGTGTCGTTAGCATCAGTTAGCTCAGTCACTGAACATAATACAGTTTGAATGTTAAGTCCCGCCTCTTATCGGGGCCAGCAGCCAATCAGGACAGAGCATTTTTGAATTGGAGTCTGGCACGGCCAATCAGATTTCAAGGCCCAGTGAGCACCAACACAGGAGTTTCCAACTGTTGATAAGTTCGCAGGACTTTTTGCACTTTGCAACTGTATTGCACGTCTGACATCAGATACATCTAGTTTGCAGCCACACTATTGTTTTTTCTAAGCATTTAGGAATACCATATTGACCTAATATTTCCAAAATGTCGAAATGTACGTTTATATTCAAATTTGACCAACTTTTTGTTTGTGTTATTTGAAACTAATTATGGCAACTAGACTAATAATCCAAAACCCAACTTAAAAATCCTATCAGCTTTTAGTGGAGGGAACCAGGGAGATGCTGCCTTCAGGGTCCAACAAAGACATAAGACATCCCTGGGTGGTGTTGTGTAGCGCCCCCT